GCCGTGTCCCCATCCCGGCAGGGTTCCATGCCAGAGCCATGCTGGGATGTGTCCCCATGGATCCATCCCTGCCCGGCCTGGGGTCCTGAGGGGTAAATGCAGAAAGGGATGGGGGCATCTTCAGGGCAGGGATGGGGACATGGTGCAGGATGGAGGGATGGGGATGGGGACACGGTGCAGGATGGAGGGATGGGGATGGGGACATGGTGCAGGATGGAGGGATGGGGATGGGGACACGGTGCAGGATGGAGGGATGGGGATGGGGACATGGTGCAGGATGGAGGGATGGGGACATGGTGCAGGATGGAGGGATGGGGATGGGGACACAGTGCAGGATGGAGGGATGGGGATGGGGACACGGTGCAGGATGGAGGGATGGGGACATGGTGCAGGATGGAGGGATGGGGACATGGTGCAGGATGGAGTGATGGGGATAGGGACATGGTGCAGGATGGAAGGATGGGGATGGGGACATGGTGCAGGATGGAGGGATGGGGACATGGATCAAAACTGGGATCAAAGCCAGGATCAAAACTGGGATCAAAACCGGGATCAAAACCAGGATCAAGGGATGAGGATGGGGACATGGCACCGGATCGATGCTGAGGTGGCCCCAGGCTCTTGACAACTGGGGCGTGAAACACATCGTAGTCACCCCAGTTCAAGGGCACTCGGTGCAGCCTGGGGATGGGGGGGAGCAGGGAAGGGGCTGCCCCAGTCCCATGGGGGCCTCCCTTCACCCTGTCCTTGGGTGCCCCATTGGGGTGCAGCTGGGTGACCTGCAGCGGGTCCCTTGCAGGTCCTACATCTACCAGAGGCGCTGGGTGAAGCTGGATGCTGAGCACCTGCGCTATTTCGACAGTGAGAAGGTGGGTTGGGGTCGGGGCCTTGCGGGGAGGAGGTGGCAGAGGAGATGCTCCTGTGGGGCCGCATCCTGCTGGGTATCTGGGGAGCAGCAGGGGGTGGGTGCTGGGGGGATGCTGGTGGGATGCGGGATGCACTGCGAGCCTGGGGTGGTCCCCATCCCATCATCCCAAGGCTGAACCTCAAATCCTGTGCTCAGCTCTAGGGCCCTCACTGCAAGAGGGACACTGAGGGGATGGAGTGGGGTCAGAGAAGGGAATGGAGCTGGTGCTGGGGTGGGATGGGGAAGGGCTGAGGGACCTGGGGGGTTCAGATGGAGAAGAGAAGGCTCAGAGGGGACCTGATGGCTGCCTCCAACCACCTGAACTGGTTGGTTCCATGGCCCTGTGGTGCTGAGCATCCTCTCCCTCTATTCCCCGCTCCAGGACACCTATTCCAAGCGCTTCATCCCCGTCTCCTGCATCTCCCGCATCACCAGCATCGGGGACCAGAAGTTCGAGGTCATCACCAACAACCGCAACTTCGTGTTCCGTGCTGAGAGCGATGGTGGGTTCCTGGCCCCCCATTCACCTCCTGCAGCCCAAGGGAGGAGCTGGGTTCCTGTCCCCCCCCATTCACCTCCTTCAGCCCAAGGGAGGAGCTGGGTTCCTGTCCCCCCATCCACCTCCTGCAGCCCAAGGGAGGAGCTGGGTTCCTGTCCCCCCCATCCTCCTCCTGCAGCCCAAGGGAGGAGCTGGGTTCCTGCCCCCCCATTCACCTCCTGCAGCCCAAGGGAGGGCTGGGTTCCTGCCCCCCCCATCCACCTCCTGCAGCCCAAGGGAGGAGCTGGGTTCCTGGCCCCCCCCATTCACCTCCTGCAGCCCAAGGGAGGAGCTGGGTTCCTGTCCCCCCATCCACCTCCTGCAGCCCAAGGGAGGAGCTGGGTTCCTGCCCCCCCATTCACCTCCTGCAGCCCAAGGGAGGAGCTGGGCTCCTGCCCCATTCACCTCCTGCAGCCCAAGGGAGGAGCTGGGTTCCTGTCCCCCCCATTCACCTCCTTCAGCCCAAGGGAGGAGCTGGGTTCCTGTCCCCCCCATTCACCTCCTGCAGCCCAAGGGAGGAGCTGGGTTCCTGTCCCCCCCATTCACCTCCTGCAGCCCAAGGGAGGAGCTGGGTTCCTGTCCCCCCCATTCACCTCCTGCAGCCCAAGGGAGGAGCTGGGTTCCTGTCCCCCCCCATTCACCTCCTGCAGCCCAAGGGAGGAGCTGGGTTCCTGTCCCCCCCCATTCACCTCCTGCAGCCCAAGGGAGGAGCTGGGTTCCTGTCCCCCCCATTCACCTCCTGCAGCCCAAGGGAGGAGCTGGGTTCCTGGCCCCCCCATTCACCTCCTGCAGCCCAATGGAGGAGCTCTGGAGCTTCCCATCCCCAGGGCTTGGATCCTGACCCATCCCCATCCCCATCCCTGCAGCCGATCGCAATGAGTGGATCCGGAGCCTTCAGCAGGTGGTGGAGGAGCGGAGGAGGACATTGGGGTCCCCAGGCTCCAGTGGGGTCCCCAGTGAGCTGCCCGATAGGAGCGGGTTCCTGGAGCTGCGGGGCTTCAAGCACAAGCTCTTCGTGGTGGTGGCTGGGGATAAAGTTCTCCTCTACAAGAACGCTGAGGTGGGTGACGGGGATGAGGTGACAGCATCGGGTACCCCAGTGATGCTCTAAGGGGACCCTTCCCTTTGTACCCACACACTGAGCAGTGGATGAGGTGACACCATCGGGTACCCCAGTGATGCTCTAAGGGGGACCCTTCCCTTTGCACCCACACACTGAGCAGTGGATGAGGTGACACCATCGGGTACCCCAGTGATGCTCTAAGGGGGACCCTTCCCTTTGCACCCACACACTGGGCACTGGATGAGGTGACAGCATCGGGTACCCCAGTGATGCTCTAAGGGGACCCTTCCCTTTGCACCCAGACACTGGGCAGTGGATGAGGTGACACCATCAGTACCCCAGTGATGCTCTAAGGGGGACCCTTCCCTTTGCACCCAGACACTGGGCAGTGGATGAGGTGACACCATCAGTACCCCAGTGATGCTCTAAGGGGGACCCTTCCCTTTGCACCCACATCCTGAGCAGTGGATGAGGTGACAGCATCGGGTACCCCAGTGATGCTCTAAGGGGACCCTTCCCTTTGCACCCGCACCCTGAGCAGTGGATGAGGTGACACCATCGGGTACCCCAGTGATGCTCTAAGGGGGACCCTTCCCTTTGTACAGACACCCTGAGCATTGGATGAGGTGACAGCATCGGGTACCCCAGTGATGCTCTAAGGGGGACCCTTCCCTTTGCACCCACACACTGGGCAGTGGATGAGGTGACAGCATCGGTACCCCAGTGATGCTCTAAGGGGGACCCTTCCCTTTGCACCCACACACTGGGCAGTGGATGAGGTGACACCATCGGGTACCCCAGTGATGCTCTAAGGGGACCCTTCCCTTTGCACCCACACTCTGAGCAGTGGATGAGGTGACACCATCGGGTACCCCAGTGATGCTCTAAGGGGGACCCTTCCCTTTGCACCCACACACTGGGCAGTGGATGAGGTGACAGCATCGGGTACCCCAGTGATGCTCTAAGGGGGACCCTTCCCTTTGCACCCACACACTGGGCAGTGGATGAGGTGACAGCATCGGGTACCCCAGTGATGCTCTAAGGGGGACCCTTCCCTTTGCACCCACACACTGGGCAGTGGATGAGGTGACAGCATCGGGTACCCAGTGATGCTCTAAGGGGACCCTTCCCTTTGCACCCACACACTGGGCAGTGGATGAGGTGACAGCATCGGGTACCCCAGTGATGCTCTAAGGGGGACCCTTCCCTTTGCACCCACACCCTGCACAGTGGATGAGGTGACACCATCGGGTACCCCAGTGATGCTCTAAGGGGACCCTTCCCTTTGCACCCACACACTGGGCAGTGGATGAGGTGACAGCATCGGGTACCCCAGTGATGCTCTAAGGGGGACCCTTCCCTTTGCACCCACACCCTGAGCAGTGGATGAGGTGACAGCATCGGGTACCCCAGTGATGCTCTAAGGGGGACCCTTCCCTTTGCACCCACACCCTGCACAGTGGATGAGGTGACAGCATTGGGTACCCCAGTGATGCTCTAAGGGGACCCTTCCCTTTGCACCCACACACTGCGCAGTGGATGAGGTGACAGCATCGGGTACCCCAGTGATGCTCTAAGGGGGACCGTTCCCTTTGCACCCACATCCTGAGCAGTGGATGAGGTGACACCATCGGGTACCCCAGTGATGCTCTAAGGGGGACCCTTCCCTTTGCACCCACACCCTGCACAGTGGATGAGGTGACAGCATCGGCACCGCAGTGATGCTTTAATGGGGACCATTCCTTTTGCACCCACACACTAAGCAGAGCAGCACTGAGCTGGGGGTACCACCCCCTAAATGTGGACAGCTCAGCCCTCACAGGCTGCTGACCCTGGGGCTGCAGCCCCTTCTCACCACCAGCTCCAACCTTTGGGGTCCCCCATGAGCACCGACCCCCCTGGAGATGCTCCATAGGGATGGGAGCTGGGGACACAGCATCTCCTGCATCCCCAAGTCCCCATTGCCCACCCTCACCCCAGGACCATCGCCTTGGCATCGGCATCACCTACATCGAGATGAACGTGGGCAACGTGAAGGATGTGGATCGCCGCGGCTTCGAGCTCACCACCCCGTACCGCACCTTCAGCTTCGCGGCCGACTCGGAGCAGGACAAGGAGGAGTGGCTGGAAGCCATGGAGCAATCCATCACCGAGGCCCTCTCCAGCTCCGAGGTGGCCGAGAGGATCTGGGCACTGGAACCCAACCGCTCCTGCGCCGACTGTGGTGCCCCCAAGCCCGACTGGGCCTCCATCAACCTCTGCGTGGTCATCTGCAAGCGATGCGCGGGTACCTGCATCCCGAGGCGGGCAGAGCGGGCCCTGCATCCCCTGCTCTGGGTGCTGGGGACCACGCTGGGGTTGGCTTCTCCCATCCCAAAGCAGCTCCTCAATGGCTTTGTCTCGGTGGCAGGGGAGCACCGGGGCTTGGGTCCTTCGATCAGCAAAGTGCGGAGCTTGAAGATGGACAGGAAGGTGTGGACGGAGGAGCTGATCCAGGTATTGGTGCAGATCAACCCCCCCCAAAGCCCCTTTTTGGGGGGCAGACATCCCTCCCCTCCCCATGGGACTTCCCCAGCCTTTGGGGTGACACTGCGGTGGGTTTGGCCCCTCAGCATCCTCCATCCCCATCCCTGTGGTCCATGGACACCCATGCGGTGAGGACAAGCAGCACTTGTGTGCGGTGCTGAGGAAGGGTTGCATTGGAATGCATGGACACAGACGGGATTCATTCCCAGACCCAACCCAGCCACATTCCCAGACCCTGGCTGGCCCCGCTCTTCCCGACCTTTCCTGCTCAGATCCCGCATTCCTGCCTGCGTCCCACCCGCGCTGCCTCCGGCATCGCCTGCTCCCCGAGCCCCCAAACGCTTCCAGCTGTGCTCCATCCCCTCCCTGCTCCGGGATTGGTGCCCAAACCCAGGGTGCTGCCAGCATCCCATTCCCACCCTGGCTCTGCTGCCACCCAAAGGGCTTAGGGATGCTGGCAGAGCACCCAAGGGCTCGCTGAGACAACGAGAAACCTCTTCATGTCAGGCTGAGCATCGTTCGGTACCGGGCACTGGGATGGCGAGGAGCCATGGAATGGCCTTTAAATCCCCCTGGATGGATGCAGAGCATCCCGCCCCTTGCCTGCAGCTGGATGCTGCATTCCAGATGTGGTTTTCCAGGCAGGAAGGGGGGGTCAGTGGCTGCGGGGGCTGCAGATGCTGGGCTGAGCCGTGCTGTGGGGCTGCGTTCCTGCAGTGAGTGGGTGCTCCTGCGCACCCCATGCAGCACCCGTCACCCCCCCAGTGCACCCCACTGGTCCCTGGGCAGGCACAGCAGCAGCTTTGGGCTCTGAATGTCCCCATGAGGGGAGCTGTTGCTGGGCTCATCCTGCATGAGGAGTCCTGGAGCGGGTCCATAGGAGGCTGCGAGGGCTGGAGCAGCTCTGCTCTGGAGCCAGGCTGAGAGAGCTGGGCTGGGGCAGCCTGGAGAAGAGAAGGCTCCTGAAGGGGAGACCTTAGAGCAGCTCCAGTGCCTAAAGGGGCTGCAGGGAACCTGGAGAGGGGCTTGGGACAAGGGCCTGTAGGGACAGGCCAAGGGGAATGGCTTGAACCTGCCCCAGGGGAGACTGAGCTGAGCTCTTAGGCAGAAGCTCTTCCCTGTGAGGGTGCTGAGGCGCTGGCACAGGGTGCCCAGAGAAGCTGTGGCTGCCCCATCCCTGGCAGTGCTCAAGGCCAGGTTGGACACAGGGGCTTGGAGCAAGCTGCTCCAGTGGAAGGGGTCCCTACCTGTGGGTTTAGATGGGCTTTCAGCCCCCTTCATCCCACCCCATCCCCTCTCCATCTCCCCCTCTCTGTCCCTCAGCTCTTCCATCACATCGGTAACGCTGTCGCCAACCAGTTCTGGGCCGCCAACGTCCCCCCCAGTGAATCCATCGGCCCCAGTAGTGGGAGCCAGGAGAGGAGGCGCTTCCTGAGGGCCAAGTACCGGGAGGGCAAGTACCGGCGCTACCACCCGCTCTTCGGCAACCAGGAGGAGCTCGACAGGGTCCGTGCCATGGGGGCATCGCCTGCGGGGTCCCCTTGGGTGCTTGGGGTGGGTGGGTGGGGGGGTCCTGAGCCTGCTCTGGGGTGCGGGGTCTGCCCGGGCAGGGTGCCCAGCCTAGGGTATGGGCTGGGTGGCTTCTAACCCTGTGTGTAACCCTGTGTGTGCCCATGTCTGTATCATGTCTGTATCCATGTCTGTATCCCTGCCTGTATCCCTGCTTGTATCCATGTCCGTATCATGTCTGTATCCCTGTCTGTATCCCTGTCTGTATCCCTGTCTGTATCCCTGCCTGTATCCCTGCCTGTATCCCTGTCTGTATCCCTGTCTGTATCATGTCTATATCCATGTCTGTATCCCTGTCTGTATCGTGTCTGTATCCCTGTCTGTATCCCTGTCTGTATCCCTGCCTGTATCCCTGCTTGTGTCCATGTCCGTATCATGTCTGTATCCTTGCCTGTATCCCTGTCTGTATCCCTGTCTGTATCCATGTCCGTAGCCATGTCTGTATCCCTGTCTGTATCCCTGCCTGTATCCCTGTTTGTATCCCTGCCTTTATCCCTGTCTGTATCCCTGCCTGTATCCCTGTTTGTATCCCTGCCTTTATCCCTGTCTGTATCCCTGCCTGTATCCCTGTTTGTATCCCTGCCTTTATCCCTGTCTGTATCCCTGTCTGTATCCCTGTTTGTATCCCTGCCTTTATCCCTGTCTGTATCCCTGCCTGTATCCCTGTCTGTATCCCTGTCTGTATCCCTGCCTGTATCCCTGTCTGTATCCTTGCCTGTATCCCTGCCTTTATCCCTGTCTGTGTCCTTGCCTGTGTCTCTGCCTGTATCCCTGCCTGTATCCATGTCTGTATCCCTGTCTGTATCCCTGCCTGTATCCCTGTCTGTATCCATGTCTGTATCCCTGCATGTATCCCTGTCTGTAGCCTTGCCTGTTTCCTTGTCTGTATCCCTGCCTGAATCCCTGCCTATACCCCTGCTTATATCCCTGCCTGTATCCATGTCCGTATCCATGTCCATATCCCTGTCTGTGTCCTTGTCTGTATCCATGTCTGTATCCCTGTCTGTACCCCTGCCTGTATCCCTGTCTGTATCATGTCTGTATCCCTGCCTTTATCCCTGTCTGTGTCCTTGCCTCTGTCTCTGCCTGTATCCCTGCCTGTATCCCTGTCTGTATCTCTGGCCTTACCCCTGTCTGCGTCCGTGCTTGTATCCCTGCCTTTATCCCTGTCGCTATCCATGCCCTTATTTCTGCCTTTATTCCTGCCTGCATCCCTGCCCTTATCCCTGCCTTTATCCCTGCCCGTATCCCTGTCTGTATCACATCACCCCCATTGCACACCCTGTGTCCCCACTGGGTACCCTGGGTTCACCAGGAGGGATGAGCTGGATGTGGGAGCAGGGAGACATCTCCGATGGGGCACACCCCGCCCCATTTCCAGGCTGGAAAGCCCAGTCTGGGATGGGATTCCCCATTCCACAGCCGGGTTTCACCTCTTCCCAGCTTGGAAATGGCACTGGGGTCCAGCACTGGGCTGGAATGGGGTTGGTGTTGAGGGGGACGCTGTGATTCCAGCATCTTCCTACAGTGACCAGCATCCAATTCACTTCCATCCACCCATTCCCATTCCCAGCCATGGGCATGGTGCTGGGTTGGGGCTTCACTCCACTTTGCCCCATTGGCACAAGGAATGATGTCCTGGCACAGGGAATGCTGTCCTGGCACAGGGAATGCCGTCCTAGCACAAGGAATGCCATTGCAGCACAGGGAATATGATCCCAGCACAGGGAATACCATCCCAGCACAGAGAATGCCATCCTGGCACAGGGAATATGATCCCAGCACAGAGAATGCCATCCCAGCACAGGGAACACCATCCCAGCACAGGGAATGCCATCCCAGCACAGGGAATACCATCCCAGCACAGGGAATGCCATCCCAGATAACCCCATCCCAGCACAGGGAATGCCATCCCAGCACAGGGAATGCCATCCCAGATAATCCCATCCCAGCACAGGGAATGCCATCCCAGCACAGGGAATGCCATCCCAGCACAGGGAACACCATCCCAGCACAAGGAATACCATCCCAGCACAGGGAATGCCATCCCAGCACAGGGAATGCCATCCCAGCACAAGGAATACCATTGCAGCACAGGGAACACCATCCCAGCCCAGGAAATGCCACCCCAGATAATCCCATCCCAGCCCAGGGAATGCCGTCCCAGCACAGGGAATGCCATCCCAGCACAGGGAATGCCATCCTGGCACAGGGAATGCCATCCCAGATAACCCCATCCCATCCCATCCCATCCCACCCCATCCCACCCCATCCCATCCCATCCCAGGGAGCTCCATCCCCGCTCCCCCCGTGTCCCTCCTCCTCCCCTCAGGGCAGTCTCTCCCATGTGCCTTTGTTTGCTTTCCTGCCCCGCTCCCGCCCCGTGACTTCAGCGGCTCCCCCGCTCCCTCCCTCCCGTCCCGTCCCTCCCCTCCTTTGTCCCGCTCCGCCCGGGCCCCATCCCGCTGTTCCCGGTGCTCCCCAGGCGCTCTGCGCGGCCGTCACCACCGCGGACCTGGCGGAGACGCAGGCGCTGCTGTTCTGCGGGGCCGCCGCGTCCTGCGCCACCGGGGACCCCCAGTGCCCCACGGCCCTGGCCCTGGCCCAGCGCAGCGGGCAGCGCCTGCAGATGGAGTTCCTGCTGCACAACAGGTCCTCAGGTAAGGGATTGAGCCCGGCGGCTCAGGGGATCCCACCGGGAATGGGGCTGGGGGAGACCGGGGGATACAGGGTGATGGTACCCTGATGGGGGATACAGGGCGCTGGTACCCTGCTGGGGGATACAGGGGGATACAGGGCGATGGTACCCTGCTGGGGGATACAGGGCGATGGTACCCTGCTGGGGGATACAGGGGGATACAGGGCGCTGGTACCCTGCTGGGGGATACAGGGCGCTGGTACCCTGCTGGGGGATACAGGGTGCTGGTACCCTGCTGGGGCATCCTGGGGGATACAGGGTGCTGGTACCCTGCCAGGGCATCCTGGGGGATACAGGGCGCTGGTACCCTGCTGGGGGATACAGGGCGCTGGTACCCTGCTGGGGGATACAGGGCGCTGGTACCCTGCTGGGGGATACAGGGCGCTGGTACCCTGCTGAGGGATACAGGGCGCTGGTACCCTGCTGGGGCATCCTGGGGGATACAGGGCTCTGGAACCCGGTCAGAGCATCCTGGGGGATACAGGGCACTGGTACCCTGCTGGGGCATCCTGGGGGATACAGGGCACTGGTACCCTGCTGGGGCATCCTGGGGGATACAGGGTGCTGGTACCTTGCTGGGGCATCCGGGGGGATGCAGGGCTCTGGTACCCTGCTGGGGGATACAGGGCTCTGGTACCCTGCTGGGGCATCCTGGGGGATACAGGGCTCCGGAACCCGGTCAGATCATCGTGGGGGATACAGGGCTCCGGAACCCGGTCAGAGCATCCTGGGGGATACAGGGCTCCAGAACCTTGCCGGTGTATCCCTGGGGATACAGGAGTGTGGTCCCAGAGCTTTATCCTACCCAGCAGCTTCCCAGCGTGGGGATATCCAGCTGCTCTGTGTACCCCAGGAGAGGGAAAAAGGGCTTTGGGGAGCACCACCATAGAATCATAGAATAGTTAGGGCTGGAAAGGACCTTAGGATCATCGAGCCAGCCAGGGATACTGGCCCAAAGCCCTATATGGGATGCAGGGAAGGACAAAGGCACCATCCTGGGCATCCCAGTGGACATCCCTCTGCCCCCCACCTCCAGCATCCCCTAAACCTTCCCACCCATTCCACCCACTGTGGCTCCCATGGGATCCATCCGCACCCTAACCCAGGGTGAACTTCCACCTTGGGAGCATTCCAGGCGCCGGGATGGAGGTGTTCCCGCTTGCCCCAGCCATCACCTCCCTTCCCCGCCTCTGCAGCCAAGCCTGGCCCGCAGGAGCTGGAATTCACCCAGGATTGGGGCCGGCCCTGCCCTGCATTCCGGATGCGTCAGCACAAAACGGGTCTGGAAACCAACCCCTTGAGCTCATCCCGGCTCTGGAATTCCTGGGGCCGATGAGCTGTGTGTGGGTAGGGCTGGGATTCTGCCCCTTTTCCCTGTCCCAAGAGCTCCAGGGAGCCCCATGCTCTGAGCTGGGGGTGCTTTAGGGGTGTCCCTGCATCCCGGTTCCTGGAGGAACGTGGGGAGTGCCTCTTGTTGGAAGGCAAAAGGGGCGATGCTCCGCTCCTATGGAACCACAAGGAGCTGGGATGGACCAGGAGGAACCTCACCAGTGGGAAAACCCAGTCCCCGCCATCCCACAGCATCCCCATACCAGCTCAGGGATGTGGGATGTGGGATATGGATATGGGATGCCCTGATCCCCACAGCCGGGGGGGGCTGGAGCTGCTCCTTGCACCCCAACTGGTGCAGCCATGGGATGCTTTCGTGTTCCTGCTTCTTGGGCTGGGCCGGGGAGCCCCGGGTGAGTTGGGGCTGGGATTTTGGGGTGCTCCAGCCCCCCCGATGAGCTCTGCTCCCCTTCACAGAGCCCCCTCGCCTGGAGCTGGGGGGCAGCGAGGAGAAGCCCTACTCGGTTCCGCTGCTCTCCGTCACCCACCACGGCTTCCTCTACAAGACCCCGTCCATGGCCAAGCCCATCGGCGAGCGCAAGGGGCCGGAAGGTACGGGGGGGTCTGTGCTGGGGATGGGGGACAGGGGCCCCATTGTAATCCCTTTGTAAGCCCATTGCAAGCCCTTTGTAAACCCATTCTAATCCCTTTGTAAGCCCGTTGCAAGCCCATTGCAAGCCCATTTCAAGCCCATTGCAAGCCCTTTGTAAGCCCATTGCAAGCCCTTTGCAAGCCCTTTGTAAACCCATTGTAAGCCCATTTCAAGCCCATTGCAAGCCCTTTGCAAGCCCATTGCAAGCCCATTGCAAGCCCTTTGTAAGCCCATTGTAAGCCATTTGCAAGCCTTTTGCAAGCCCATTTCAAGCCCTTTGTAAGCTCATTGCAAGCCCTTTGTAAGCCCATTGCAAGCCCATTGCAAGCCCTTTGTAAGCCCATTGCAAGCCCTTTGTAAGCCCATTGCAAGCCCTTTGTAAGCCCATTGCAAGCCCATTGCAAGCCCTTTGTAATCCCATTGCAAACCCATTGTAAACCCATTGTAATCCCATTGGAAGCCCATTGCAAGCCCTTTGTAAGCCCATTGCAAGCCCTTTGCAAGCCCTTTGTAAGCCCATTGCAAGCCCATTGCAAGATCATTGCAAGCCCATTGCAAGCCCTTTGGAAGCCCTTTGCAAGCCCATTGCAAGCCCATTGCAAGCCCTTTGTAATCCCATTGCAAGCCCTTTGTAATCCCATTGCAAGCCCTTTGCAATCCCTTTGCACCCGGTTGTAGAGTTCAGCCGGCGCTGGTGCACGCTGCAGGACGGGCTCCTCAGCTACTACGAGAGCGAGCGCAGCGCGGCGCCCAACGGGGAGCTCCGGGCCCAGGAGATGGTGTGCCTGGTGCACAATGCACCCCACACACATGGGTATGAGCAGCCCCCATGGGCACGCACACAGCACCCCCAGAGCCTTCCTAACCCCATGTGATCCCTTGGAACCCCTATGCATCCCCTTTGGAACCCCTTTGTACCTCTATAACCCCTGTGCAGCCCCTTTGTAACCCCTGTGCAGCCCCTTTGTAGACCCTTTCTAACGCCTTTGTACGTCTTCAGCCCCTGTGCAGCCACTTTGTAACCCCTGTGCAGCCCCTTTGGAACCCCTTTGGAGCCCCTTTGGAACCCCTTTGTACCTCTTCAACCTCTTTGCAGCCCCATTGTAACCCTTTTGTACCTCTTCAACCCCTTTTCAGCCCTTTGTAACCCCTTTGTAACCCCTTTGTAACCCCTTTGGAAAACCTTTGTACCTCTTCAACCCCTGTGCAGCCCCTTTGTAACCTCTTTGTACCTCTTCAACCCCTGTGCAGCCCCTTTGGAACCCCTGTGCAGCCCCTTTGGAGCCCCTTTGTACCTCTTCAACCCCTGTGCAGCCCCTTTGGAACCCCTGTGCAGCCCCTTTGGAACCCCTTTGTACCTCTTCAACCCCTGTGCAGCCCCTTTGGAACCCCTGTGCAGCCCCTTTGGAACCCCTTTGTACCTCTTCAACCCCTTTGCAGCCCCTTTGTAACCCCTGTGCAGCCCCTTTGGAACCCCTGTGCCCTTTGGAACCCCTTTGTACCTCTTCAACCCCTGTGCAGCCCCTTTGTAACCCCTGTGCAGCCCCTTTGGAACCCCTTTGTACCTCTTCAACCCCTGTGCAGCCCCTTTGTAACCCCTGTGCAGCCCCTTTGGAACCCCTTTGTACCTCTTCAACCCCTTTGCAGCCCTTTGTAACCCCTTTGTACCTCTTCAACCCCTTTGCAGCCCCTTTGTAACCCCTGTGCAGCTCCTTTGGAACCCCTTTGTACCTCTTCAACCCCTGTGCAGCCCCTTTGTAACCCCTGTGCAGCCCCTTTGGAACCCCTTTGTACCTCTTCAACCCCTTTGCAGCCCTTTGTAACCCCTTTGGAGCCTTTTTGGGACCCCTCTGTACCTCTTAAACCCGTGTGCAGCCCCTTTGGAACCCCTTTGTACCTCTTCGACCCCTGTCCAGCCCCTTTGCAACCCTTGTGCAGCCCCTTTGGAACCCCTGTGCAGCCCCTTTGTAACCTCTTTGTACCTCTTTAACCCCTGTGCAGCCCCTTTGGAACCTCTGTGCAGCCCCTTTGTACCTCTTCAACCCCTGTGCAGCCCCTTTGGAACCCCTGTGCAGCCCCTTTGTAGCCCCTTTGTAGCCCCTTTGTAGCCCCATTGTAACCCCTTTGCAACCCCATTGTAGCCCCATTATAACCCCTTTGCAACCCCATTGTAGCCCCATTATAACCCCTTTGCAACCCCATTGTAGCCCCTTTGCACGCTCTGCTCCCCGGCGGAGCATGCCCAGGGATGCTGAAGAGCCCAGTGCCGCAGCGGGGGGGTATCCCAATCCCCACGCTATACCCATACAACCGGGCTACCCACCCCCCCCACCACCCCTGGGTACCCACGCTCCCCATCCCTCCCTTCCCACAGCATCGAGCACACCTTCGAGGTGTACATGGAGTCGGAGAGGCTCTACCTGTTCGGGCTGGAGAGCCCCGGCTCCGCTCGGGAATGGCTCAAGTCCATTGCCAAGGTAGGATGCGATGGGTTGGGAACAACGGGCGGATGGAGCCGGGAGCTGCAGCACTGACGGGCTCCTCTTCCTCCCAGTCCTTCATCCACCCCTGTGCCGAGGAGCTCCTGGCGCTGGACTTCGAGCGCATCGGCCGCCTGCACTACAAGGGGGGCCTCAACCTGGAGCGCACCAAGGAGGGCTGGTTCGCCCTAATGGGGTCCGTGCTCCACATCTGCTTCCAGGGCGGCGAGCGGCAGGAACCCCTCCAGCTCCGCAAGCTGCAGGAGCTCTGTGCGTGCCCCTGCCCCACTGAGGGGTCCCCGTCTCCACTATGGGGGTGTGGGGGTGAAGGGGGGGACCCCGACATCATTGGGGGGACATTGGGGGTGATGCTTTGGTGGAGCACAGGCTCCTTCTGCTCCTTGGAAAGCTGCTTCTCATCCCATAAGGGCTGGGAGGGAGCATGGGGACAAGGGGGGACCCCAACATCATTGGGGGGACATTGGGGGTGATGCTTTGGTGGAGCACAGGCTCCTTCTGCTCCTTGGAAAGCTGCTTCTCATCCCATAAGGGCTGGGAGGGAGCATGGGGACAAGGGGGGACCCCAACATCATTGGGGGGACATTGGGGGTGATGCTTTGGTGGAGCACAGGCTCCTTCTGCTCCTTGGAAAGCTGCTTCTCATCCCATAAGGGCTGGGAGGGAGCATGGGGACAAGGGGGGACCCCAACATCATTGGGGGGACATTGGGGGTGATGCTTTGGTGGAGCACAGGCTCCTTCTGCTCCTTGGAAAGCTGCTTCTCATCCCATAAGGGCTGGGAGGGAGCATGGGGACAAGGGGGGACCCCAACATCATTGGGGGGACATTGGGGGTGATGCTTTGGTGGAGCACAGGCTCCTTCTGCTCCTTGGAAAGCTGCTTCTCATCCCATAAGGGCTGGGAGGGAGCATGGGGACAAGGGGGGACCCCAACATCATTGGGGGGACATTGGGGGTGATGCTTTGGTGGAGCACAGGCTCCTTCTGCTCCTTGGAAAGCTGCTTCTCATCCCATAAGGGCTGGGAGGGAGCATGGGGACAAGGGGGGACCCCAACATCATTGGGGGGACATTGGGGGTGATGCTTTGGTGGAGCACAGGCTCCTTCTGCTCCTTGGAAAGCTGCTTCTCATCCCATAAGGGCTGGGAGGGAGCATGGGGGTGAGGGGGGACCCCAACATCATTGTGGGGACATTGGGGGTGATGCTTTGGTGGAGCACAGGCTCCTTCTGCTCCTTGGAAAGCTGCTTCGCATCCCATAAGGGCTGGGAGGGAGCATGGGGACAAGGGGGGACCCCAACATCATTGTGGGTACATTGGGGGTGATGCTTTGGTGGAGCACAGGCTCCTTCTGCTGAGCTCTTCTCCATCCTTGGAAAGATGCTTTGCATCCCATAAGGGCTGGGAGGGAGCGTGGGGGTGAGGGGGGGACCCCGACATCCTTTTGGGGACATTGGGGGTGATGCTTTGGTGAGGGGGGGACCCCAACATCCTTGTGGGGACATTGGGGGTGATGCTTTGGTGGAGCACAGGCTCCTTCTGCTCCTTGGAAAGCTGCTTCGCATCCCATAAGGGCTGGGAGGGAGCATGGGGATGAGGGGGGGACCCCGACATCCTTGTGGGGACATTGGGGGTGATGCTTTGGTGGAGCACAGGCTCCTTCTGCTCCTTGGAAAGCTGCTTCTCATCCCATAAGGGCTGGGAGGGAGCGTGGGGACAAGGGGGGGACCCCCAGATCCTCATGGGTGGCAGCTGGTTGTTAGTGGGGTATTGGGAATGATGCTCTGATGGGATGCAGGCTCCTTCTGAGCTCTTCCCTACCCATGGAGAGCTGCTCCTCATCCTGTTGGGCTGGAGGGGGACCAGGGGACCCCACATACTCATGGGTGATGTTCTCTTTGCCTTCCCTTCCAGCCATCCAGGGGGACAATGAGGTGCTGGTGCTGGTGGAGAGGCGGAGGTAGGAGCAGAGGATGGGGGGGGTTGGATGCTTCCAGCAAAATATCCCAACCCTTCCCAAGTTATTCCTTGTTTTGGGGAGTCTTTACCCTCTCTGCAGCAACTGGGGACCCCAAAAGAGGAGCAGGACCATCCCCATGCCCCTGGTTCCAGCCTCCCTGGGGGGGGGGGGTCCAGCTGTGCAGTGGGGTTTGGTGGCGCATTGGGTCCCACACTGAGGCCAGGCTTCCCGGCAGGACACTGTACATCCAAGGGGAGAGGAAGCTGGATTTCCTGGGATGGGTCCAGGCCATCCAGAAGGCTGCGGGCAGCTCCGGGGACACGTTGTCAGAGCAGCAGCTCACTGAGTCGGATGTCCCACTGCTGGTGGATCGCTGCATCGACTACATCACCCAGTGTGGTATGTGCACACATCACCCAGTATGGTACTTGCCTGCATCACCCAGTGCGGTACATGCCTGCATCACCCATCACCCAGTGCGGTACATGCCTGCATCACCCATCACCCAGTGCGGTACGTGCCTGCATCACCCAGTGCGGTACGTGCCTGCATCACCCAGTGTGGTACATGCCTGCATCACCCAGTGTGGTACGTGCCTGCATCACCCAGTGTGGTACGTGCCTACATCACCCATCACCCAGTGTGGTACGTGCCTGCATCACCCAGTGTGGTACGTGCCTACATCACCCATCACCCAGTGCGGTACGTGCCTGCATCACCCAGTGTGGTACGTGCCTGCATCACCCAGTGCGGTACGTGCCTGCATCACCCATCACCCAGTGCGGTACGTGCTTGCATCACCCAGTGTGGTACGTGCCTGCATCACCCAGTGTGGTACGTGCCTGCATCACCCAGTGCGGTACGTGCCTGCATCACCCATCACCCAGTGCGGTACGTGCACACATCACCCAGTATGGTACTTGCCTGCATCACCCAGTGTGGTACATGCCTGCATCACCCAGTGCGGTACATGCCCGCATCACCCATCACCCAGTGTGGTACTTGCCTCCATCACCCAGTGTGGTACGTGCCAGCATCACCCATCACCCAGTGCGGTATGTGCCTGCATCACCCATCACCCAGTGCATCACCGACTCACCTCATAGACACCATAGAGTCAGCTGGGTTGGAAAGGAGCTTCAGGTCCACCCAGTGCAAGCATTGCCCCACAGCCACCACTGCCCCATGGCACTGAGGGGGTGTGAACCCTTGCAGGGCCGGTGCCTGCAGCCCTGCCCTGGGCAGCCTGTTCCAATGCCTGAGCACCCTCTGGGGCAGGAATTGGTCCTCAGCTCCATCTAAACCTGCCCTGGTGCAGCTTGAGGCCGGTTCCTCTTGTCCCATCCCTTGTTCCTTGGGAGCAGAGCCCAGCCCCTCCTGGCTCCATCCTCCTCTCAGGCACTTGGAGGCAGCCATCAGGTCCCCCCTGATCCCTCTCCATCCCGAGCAGATCCTCCAGCCTGTTCCCTCTGGAGCAGGTCTCATCCCAACGGCTCTCCCCTAGGGTTGACATCCGAAGGCATCTACCGCAAGAGCGGGCAGAACTCCAAGACCACGAGCCTGCTGGAGATGCTGCGCAGGGATGCCCGCAGCGTGCGCCTCAAGGAGGGCGAGCACCACGTGGATGATGTGGCCAACACCCTCAAGAGGTTCTTCAGGGACCTGGGGGACGGGCTCTTCACCAGGCACTGGGGCCAGGACTGGATGCGGGCCACTGGTGAGCACTGGGGGCTGTGGGTGCTGTGGGACCAGGTTGGGGTCGCTGTTCTGCTGTAGCATCCTTCATCCTCTCCTCCATGGTTGGGGCAGGCACCCAACAGCCATGTTGGGAGTGGGGTGGGTGGGGAGTGGAGGGTGACCCTGTGCGGCTTGGATGGGGAGGAGATGGGGCAATGAACCAAACCCCCCTGCCCTGAGCTCATGGATCCATTCCATGGATACTGGGGATGGATGGACCCAATGGCAAACAGCCATGAGGCACAGTGCTGTGGAGCTGGGACGCTCCAGCCACATGGAGATGGGATGCTCCAACCACATGAGGCTGGGATGCTCTGGCCCTGGGATGTTTCCACCCTTTGAAGTTGGGATGCTTCAGGCCTGGGGACCTGGGAGGATCTGGCCTTAGGATGCTCCAGCCCTGGGATGCTCCAGCCCCATGATGCTCTGGCCCTGTAGATATGGGATGCTCCAGCATCATGATGATGGGATGTTCTGTACCTATGCAGCTGGAATGCTCAAGCCCTGGGTTGCTCTGGCCCTGTGGGTCTGGGGTGTTCCAGCATCATGATGCTGGGATGCTCTGGACCCATGCAGCTGGGATGCTCCAGCCCTGGGATGCTCTGGCCCTGTGGATCTGGGATGCTCCAGCATCATGATGATGGGATGCTCTGTACCTACGGAGCTGGGATGCTTGAGCCCTGGGTTGCTCTGGCCCTGTGGGTCTGGGGTGCTCCAGCATCATGATGATGGTGTGCTCCGGACCTATGGAGCTGGAATGCTCAAGCCCTGGGTTGCTCTGGCCCTGTGGGTCTGGGGTGTTCCAGCATCATGATGATGGGATGCTCTGGACCCATGCAGCTGGGATGTTTGAGCCCTGGGTTGCTCTAGCCCTGTGGGTCTGGGGTGCTCCAGCATCATGATGATGGGATGCTCTGGACCTATGGAACTGGGATGCTCCAGCCCTGGGATGCTGGAATGCTCTGGACCTATGGATCTGGGATGCTCCAGCCCTTGTGTGCTCTGGCCCATGGAGCTGGGATGCTCTGCTCTTATGGAGCTGGGACGATCGGCTGCTGGGATGCTCCATCCCCATACTGGAGGCTCTAAGCTGGGATGTGGAGGGGGGCTGTTGGGGCCATGAATCCTGATCTCACCTTCACCCCCCTCAATGCTCATCCCCTTCCAGCACTGGAGGACGAGGAGGTGAAGATCACCGAGTACCGGCGGCTCCTGGGCCTGCTCCCCACGGTGAACCGGGCCACGCTGAAGGCGCTCATCAACCACCTATTCCGGTACGACGCGGGTACCAATCCCTATGGAGCATCACCCCCTCCTCCATGGCACCTGCATCCCTTGGCTCACATCCCAGACCAGGAAGGGTCCAAAGCCGAGCATCCCATCCCGGCATTGGGACCGTTCCCCTTGGCAACGCTGAAGGAGGGATGCTGTGGGGATGTGGGGCTGGGATCTCAATGGGGCTCCCCACAGGGTGCAGCGGTTCTCTGGGGAGAACCAGATGAACACACACAACCTGGCCATTGTCTTCGGGCCCACGCTCTTCCAGATGGATGGGAAGGACTACAAGGCAGGACGGGTGGTGGAGGACCTCATCAGCCACTACGTGAAGATCTTCAATGTAGGTTCAGCGCTCCCTTTGGATCAGGATGGTGTGGGGGTATTCCCAGGGGATGGGGTTGGGGATGGGGAATCTCCTCTGTCTGCTTTGGAGATGAGGGGAAGGGCTCCATGTCCCTGCAGACCCTGGGGACCCCCAAGCATGGAGCTGCTGGGCAGGGGAGCAGGTTCCACTGGGAGCCAGCATCTGCTGGCTGATGGCTCCTCATCCTCGTAGGTCAATGACCAAGAGATGAAGAAGCAGCAGGATGAGATCACGGCCATCATGAAGATGCGGGAGGCAGCATCCAGCGGGACACAGGTACATGGGGACCTGCCATGGGGTGCTCTGCACATGGGGCTCGCTCCAGCATCCCCTGGAGGTGCCGGGTGGTGGGATTCATCCTTCCTATGGGAGCTGTGGGTTGAGGAGCTTTCCCCTTGTCCTGCAGCAAGCTGGGGACTTCATCTGCACCGTGTACCTGGAGGAGAAGAAGACGGAGGCAGAGCAGCACGTGAAGGTGAGTGATGGGCACAGGGGACAGGGCCAGGCTCCGTGGTGGCACAGGGACAGGGCCAGGCTCCGTGGTGGCACAGGGACAGGCACTGCGGTGTGAGGGTGGAACGGCCCCGGGCACATGGAGACCTGTCCCCTCCTCACAGATCCCAGCCACCATGACCGCCGAGGAGCTCACCTTCGAGATCCTGCACAGGAGGAAGGTGGTCATGAAGGAGAAGGACTATTGGAGCTGCTACGAAGTGAATGAGAGGGAGGAGGCAGGTGGGTGGGAGGGGATTGAGGATGGGGAGAGAGGTGGGGATGGGGATGGGGATGGAGGTGAGGATGGAGGTGGGGATGGGGTTGAAGACAGGGATGAGGATGGAGATGGAGGTGGGATGGAGGTGGGGATGGCGATGAAGATGGGGTTAAGATAGGGATGGAGATGTGGATGGAAAATGGAAAGGGAGATGGGGATGAAGATGGGAAATGGAGATAGGAATGAGTTGCAGGTGAGGTTGGAGATAAGGATGGGGATAGAGATGGAAATGGATTTGGGGACAGAGGTGAGATGGAGCTGGAAATGGGGTTGAAGATAGTGATGGAGATGAGATGGAGGTGGAGGTGGGGATGTGGATGGAGATGGGATGGAGGTGGGGATGGAGATGAAGATGGGGTTAAGATAGGGATGGGGATGTAGATGGTAACGGAGACAGAGATGAGTTGCAGATGAGGTTGGAGATAGGGATGGAGATGGACATGGTAATGGATTTGGAGATAGAGGTGAGATGGAGCTGGAAATGGGGTTGAAGACAGTGGTGGAGATGAGATGGAGGTGAAGATGTGGATGAAGATGGGATGGAGGTGGGGATGGGGATGAAGGTGGGGTTAAGATAGGGATGGGGATGTAGATGGAAAATGGAAATGGAGATGGGGATGGGGATGAAGATGGGGTTAAGATAGGGATGGGGATGTAGATGGGAAATGGAGATAGGAATGAGTTGCAGATGAGGTTGGAGATAAGGATGGGGGTAGAGATGGAAATGGATTGGGGGACAAAAGTGAGATGGAGCTGGAAAGGGGGTTGAAGATAGTGATGGAGGTGAGATGGATGTGGAGGTGGGGATGTGGATGGAGATGGGATGGAGGTGGGGATGGGGATGTAGATGGGAAATGGAAATGGAGATAGGGATAAGTTGCAGATGAGGTTGGAGATAAGGATGGCGATAGAGATGGAAATGGATTTGGGGATAGAATTGAGGTGGAGATGGAAATGGGGTTGAGGATAGTGATGGAGATGAGATGGAGGTGGAGATGGAGATGAAGATGAGGTTGAAGATAGGAATGGAGATGGAAATGGAGATGGGCTTGAAGACAAGGATGGGGATGGAGATGAACATGGGGATGGGGATAAAAGGTTTCCCATGGGGTCTGCAGCATGAGGCAATGCTGGGACAGGTCCATGCCCTCTGGGGAGGGTGGCTGCAGGTTGCTCACCACATCCCTGCTGCAGATGAGCCGGTGACTGGGACCAGGACCCACAGGACACCTATAGGGGTTAACCACCAGTGAAGCTCAGAGGGGGTGCTGGGTTCCCCACCCCAGGGTGCCCATGGGCAGCACCAAGAGCTTGGCATGAGCAGGATGAGGCCCAGGCAGGATGCTGAGCCCATCACTCAAAGCCAACATGGGATGCTTTGGTCCTTGCCAAGCCCAAGCCCTCAAGCCCCTCTGCACAGGATGGGTCCCTGTGGTGCCTGTCCCCCCGTGCTCATGCGTGTCCCTATGGGAAGGTGGGCAGGAGCTTGGGACGCACGTGTGGCTCTATGGGGTGATGCCAGAGCCTATGGGGATGATGCCTGACCCCTGCCTGTCCCTGCCTGGCAGAGAGGCCCCTGCACTACTTGGAGAAGGTCCTGCCCATCCTGCACTGCCTGGGCACTGAGAGCTACTTGGTGGTGAAGAAGCAGATGGCCATGGAGAACATGCTCGTCTACCTGGGTGAGAGCCACGGTGCTGCGGGGAGGGGATGGGATGGGATGGGATGGGATTGGGGATGGTGATGGATGGAGATGGGATAGGGATGGGGGTGGGATTGAATGGTGATGGGTGGAGGTGGGATAGGGATGGGGTGGAGATGGAATGGGTTGGGATGGAATGGGGACAGGGGTGGGATGGGGGTGGTGATAGAATGGGGATGGGAAAAAAGAATGGGATTAGGTGGGATGGTGATGGGGATGAGATGGCAATGAGGATGGGATGGGGATAGAGATGGGGATGCAAGGGGAGGAGGTGGGATGGGGATGGGGTGGAGATGGAATGGGTTGGGATGGAATGGGGACAAGGGTGGGATGGGGGTGGTGATAGAATGGGGATGGGAAAAAGAATGGGATTAGGTGGGATGGTGATGGGGATGAGATGGCAATGAGGATGGGATGGGGATAGAGATGGGGATGCGAGGGGAGGAGGTGGGATGGGGTAAGTGATGGGAAGGGGATGGGATAGGGATGGTGTGGAGATGGAACAGGTTGGGATGGAATGGGGACAGGGGTGGGATGGGGGTGGTGATAGAATGGGGATGGGAAAAAGAATGGGATTAGGTGGGATGGTGATGGCAATGAGATGACAATGAGGATGGGACAGGGATAGAGATGGGGATGCAAGGGGAGGAGGTGGGATGGGGTAAGTGATGGGAAGGGGATGGGATGGGGATGGGATGGGGTAGGTGATAGGAAGGTGATGGGAAGGTGATGGGATGGGGATGGGATGGAAATGGGGATGGGAAGGTGGAGATGGGATGCGAGGGGAGGAGCTGAGATGGGTTGGGATGGGGTAAGTGATGGGAAGGGGATGGGATGGGAATGGGGATAGGATGGAAATGGGGATGGGATGCGAGGGGAGGAGATGAGATGGAGATGAGATGGGTTGGGATGGGGTAAGTGATGGGAAGTAATGGGATGGGATGGGATGGGATGGGATGGGGTAAGTGATGGGAAGTAATGGGATGGGGTGGGATGGGATGGGATGGGATGGATGGGTTGGGATGGGGTAAGTGATGGGAAGTAATGGGATGGATGGGATGGGATGGGTTGGGATGGGGTAAGTGATGGGAAGTAATGGGATGGGATGGGGTAAGTGATGGGAAGGGGATGGGATGGGATGGGATGGGATGGGATGGGATGGGATGGGGTAAGTGATGGGAGGTAATGGGATGGGATGGGGTGGGATGGAGATGGGATGGGATGGGGTAAGTGATGGGAGGTAATGGGATGGGATGGGGTGGGATGGGGATGGGATGGGATGGGGTAAGTGATGGGAGGTAATGGGATGGGATGGGGTGGGATGGGGATGGGATGGGATGGGGTAAGTGATGGGAGGTAATGGGATGGGATGGGATGGGTTGGGATGGGGTAAGTGATGGGAAGTAATGGGATGGGATGGGATGGGATGGGTTGGGATGGGTAAGTGATGGGAAGTAATGGGATGGGATGGGGTAAGTGATGGGAAGGGGATGGGATGGGATGGGATGGGATGGGATGGGATGGGATGGGATGGGGGTAAGTGATGGGAGGTAATGGGATGGGATGGGGTGGGATGGAGATGGGATGGGATGGGGTAAGTGATGGGAGGTAATGGGGGATGGGTGGGATGGGGATGGGATGGGATGGGTAAGTGATGGAAGGAATGGGATGGGATGGGTGGGGATGGGGATGGGATGGGATGGGTAAGTGATGGGAGGTAATGGGATGGGGGGATGGGTTGGGATGGGGTGTGATGGGTATGGGATGGGATGGGATGGGATGGGTTGGGATGGGTAAGTGATGGGAAGTAATGGGATGGGATGGGTAAGTGATGGGAAGGGGATGGGATGGGATGGGATGGGATGGGATGGGATGGGATGGGTAAGTGATGGAGGAATGGGATGGGATGGGGTGGATGGATGGGATGGGTGGGGATGGGGATGGGATGGGATGGGGTAAGTGATGGGAGGTAATGGGATGGGATGGGGTGGGATGGGGATGGGATGGGATGGGGTAAGTGATGGGAGGTAATGGGATGGGATGGGATGGGATGGGATGGGATGGGATGGGATGGGGATGGGATGGGGATGGGGATGGGGATGGGATGGGGATGGGGTGGATGGGATGGGATGGGGATGGGATGGGATGGGATGGGATGGGATGGGATGGGATGGGATGGGATGGGATGGGATGGATGGATGGATGGGGATGGGGGGGATGGGTAAGTGATGGGAGGTAATGGGATGGGATGGGGTGGGATGGGGATGGGATGGGATGGGGTAAGTGATGGGAGGTAATGGGATGGGATGGGATGGGATGGGATGGGATGGGATGGGGATGGGATGGGGATGGGGTAAGTGATGGGAGGTAATGGGATGGGATGGGGTGGGATGGGATGGGTTGGGATGGGGTAAGTGATGGGAGGTAATGGGATGGGATGGGGCCGGGGGCCAGGCAGGAGCAGCGCTGGGGCTGGAAGTGCTCATTGGGTGCCCGCAGCCAGCAGAGGGGGTGACTGCAAGCACGGGCTGATGAAGTTCCGGGAGGAGAGGAACCTGCTGGGGCTGGGGCTCAGCACCGGCTTCCACGACCGGTACTTCATCCTGAGCCACCACTGCCTGCGCCTCTATAGGGACGTGAGGGTGAGCCCGGCCTCCCCTGCATCCCCATCCCCATCCCCATCCCAGTGCTGGGCCCGTGTCCCCTGTCCCCATGGTGCTGGCACCATCTCTGCCCTCTCTGCTCCATCCTGGTGCCAGCCTCACCCTCTGCAAGCCCAGACCCCTCCCCGAGGGGACAGAGCCCATCCCGTGTCCCTATGGGGACCCTGAGCAGGGCCGGGCAGTCCCCAGTGTGGTGCTGGTGCCTCTTCCCACAGAGCCACAAGCCGGAGAAGGAATGGCCCGTGGGGAGCCTGCGGGTGTACCTGGGCATCAAGAAGAAGCTTCGGCCTCCAACGTGGTGAGCAGCAGCGGTGGGGTGTCCTGGGGTGGGGACTGGGATGGGGATGGGACAGGGATGGGGATTGAGACTGGGATGGAGATGGGGATGGGGATAAAGATGGGATGGGGACAGGTCTGGAACAGGGCTTGGGCTGCGGGTGGGGATTGAAACAGGGATGGAGATGGGGATGGAGGTAAGGACAGGGTGGGGGTTGGGGTAGGACAAGGGATAGTGGTGGAGACAGGGTGGGGATGGGCATGGGACAGGGATGGGCACAGGGGCAGGGATGGGGACAGGGATGGAGATAAGGACAGGATGGGGATTGGGGTAGGACAGGGGTGGGGATGGGGATGGGAATGGGACAGGGAAGGGCACAGGGGCAGGGATGGAGACAGGGATGGAGATAAGGACAGGATGGGGATGGGGGTAGGACAGGGACGGTGATGGAGACAGGGGTGGGGATGGGGATGGGGATGGGACAGGGCTGGGCACAGGGGCAGGGATGGAGATGGGGATGGAGATAAGGACAGGATGGGGATGGGGGTAGGACAGGGACGGTGATGGAGACAGGGGTGTGGATGGGGATGGGAATGGGACAGGGATGGGCACAGGGGCAGGGATGGGGACAGGGACAAGGCAGGGGCCAGGGCCGGTTGTGCCGCGGGGACGCGCCTGGTGCTGGTCGCGCCTCCGGCCACCAGATGGCGGAGCAGAGCCGCGGGAGGCTGCTGCGGGACCGAGACAGCGCCGAGAGCCTGGCCCGGCCCCATCCCTGCTCTGTCCCCATCCCTTCCCTGTCCCCATCCCCATCCCCATCCCTGCCCTGTCCTCATCCCTGCCCCATCCCCATCCCTTCCCTGTCCCCATTCCTGCCCCATCCCCATCCCTTCCCTGTCCCCATCCCCATCCCCATCCCTGCTCTGTCCCCATCCCTTCCCTGTCCCCATCCCCATCCCTGCCCTGTCCTCATCCCTGCCCCGTCCCCATCCCTTCCCTGTCCCCATTCCTGCCCCATCCCCATCCCAGCCCCGTCCCCATCCCTGCCCCATCCCCATCCCTGCCCCGTCCCCATGCGCATGGGCATTGTGTGTGTGCATGTATGTGGGGCTGTGCCTGCGTGTCAGCCAGATGTGTAAATGCTGCTCATGTCCATATGGGTGAGTGCATCCATGTCAGCAACTCGTGTACACGCATGTGCACGTGTGCATGTACATGTGTGTGTGTGCATGCTCATGGTTTCCCTCTCCCTTCAGCTGGGGCTTCACTGTCTTCTATGAGAACGAGAAGCACGAGAAGCAGCAATGGTGAGAGCGGGGATGCACAGGGGATGCAGAGCCCATCCCATGGGATCCATCCGCACTGTGGGTACTGGGTTGGGGTTGGGGTTAGGGCCCTGCAGCAGGGCCAGGCCAAGGGGAATGGCTTGAACCTGCCCGAGGGGAGCCTGAGCTGAGCTCTTAGGCAGAAGCTCTTCCCTGTGAGGGTGCTGAGGCGCTGGCACAGGGTGCCCAGAGAAGCTGTGGCTGCCCCATCCCTGGCAGTGCTCAAGGCCAGGTTGGACACAGGGGTCCCCCTCTTTGTGTCCCCATGGCCCCCCCATCCCCTCCGTGCCCCCATAGGTACCTGTGCTGTGACACCCAGGCCGATCTCCGTGAGTGGTTCGCCACCTTCCTCCACGTGCAGGTGGGCAGGAGGATGCTCAGCGCGGGGCCGCCCTCGCTGCATCCCAGCATCCCTAAATCCCCGCATCCCAGGGCAACGCAAGGGGCTCTGAGGACCCCATTGCCCACCCCGTGTCCCCTCTGTCCCCAGCACGGGGGGGCCCTGTGGCCCTCGGAGAGCTCCAAGGTGAGGACGTCGCGGTGGCAGCAGGACTCCAGGTTGGGTAACATCTCCCTCATCCCGCTGCGGGGCAATGAGAGTGAGATGAGGAACAGTGTGGCTGCTTTTGCTGCTGACCCGCTCACTGTGAGTGATAGGGGGTGCTATGGGGGGACCCTGTGTGTGGGGCTGCATCTCCTCTGCATCACACAAAGGGGTGGTTCTGGTACCCAGGGATGCGGGGAGCATCCCCGTTCCCATTCCTTATGCATCACCATCAACCTCTGGTCACCCCAAAGGGGAGGGAGGTGATGCTTTGGGTGCTCTCAATGGTGTTGGGGTGGTGTCTGGGGTGCAGGAGGGGCCCAACCCGTGTGATGCAAGGCAAGGGGATGCTGCCAAGGGTTGGTTTCTCTGTACTGCTGTCCTGGTCATAAATCAGCCCCATCCCCTCATCCTCCTGTCTGCCTGTCCATGGGCATCCCCACATCACACCAGTGCTGTGGGTGCCCTGCTCACCCATGGGTGCTATGGGTGCTGGTGGGACAGAGCTGCTGTGCTCCCCCCATGCCCAAGGCAAGCCCTTGGGCCCTCGTCGCTGTTATAAACCTGAGGATGTGGCTGGGATGGGGAGATCCCACCATGGGGTGTGCATCACCCAAGGGTGCCGAGCAGCAGCATCACTGCCCCAGAGCCCCCCCACCGCACACCCATCCCCATGGACTGGGTCTGTGGGGCAGCCCTAGCCCAGGACCCCCCCATAGGCTCAGGTTTATAATATGGGGTGATGGGGAAGCTCCTATTGGGCTTCACCATGGGCTCTGCTTCATGGTGTGTGACCTGGCAGGGGGGGTCTCTGCACTCAGGGGCCATGGAGCATCCTCTGCACTGGTCCAGGGCAATGGAGCAGCACCAGGGGGGCTCCCATGGGGCACTGTGGGTGTCCCCACCATGGGGTGGGGAGGTGGGCACAGGCTGATGGACCGGGGACCACGGTACCTCTTGCTCTGGGCTCTCTCCCGCATCCCTGATGCGTTCCCATGGGAACCAGTGGTGATGCTGGGACAGGAGGAGGATGAGCACTAACGGTGACCTGCGTGCTCTGTCCCCAGCTCCTGCACAACGTCTGAGCTTGAGGCCTGGACACCGGGTGAGTGCAGGGGATGATGGCTCTGCCCATCCCATTGCCACCCCACAGGGGGACATGGGGCATGCGGTGCCCCCATGCGGGTCCCAGCAGGGATGGGGTGGAGGTGCCAACGTTTGCTCTCCTCTTGTGCTCCAGGTTTGTCCATGCATGGGGCAGCCTCAGGGACCTGCTCCAGCCCCGCATCCCAGCACAGGCCGGGCTCCCATCGCATCCACCGGACCCTCTGACCTCCCCACACCCTGACCCACGGGCACACAGGAGGGGATTGGCTGCGAGGCCACTGACCCACCAGTGGAGCAGGTCTGGGGAGCCATGGCCAGGCACCCATGGAGACTGTATAGGGACCAGCATCCATGGGGACCAGCATCCATGGGGACCAGCATCCATAGGGACCAGCATCCATGGGGACCAGCATCCATAGGGACCAGCATCCATGGGGACCAGCATCCATGGGGACCATGCATCCATGGGGACCAGCATCCATGGGGACCAGCATCCATGGGGACCAGCATCCATTGGGACCAGCATCCATGGGGACCAGCATCCATGGGGACCAGGCACTCATGGGGACCAGCATCCATGGGGACCAGCATCCGTGGGGACAAGGCACTCATGGGGACCAGCATCCATGGGGACCAGCATCCATTGGGACCAGCATCCATACGGACCAGCATCCATTGGGACCAGCATCCATGGGGACCAGCATCCATGGGGACAAGGCACTCATGGGGACCAGCATCCATGGGGACCAGCATCCATGGGGACCAGCATCCATTGGGACCATGCACCCATGGGGACCAGACATCCCTGGGGAGACCGGCATCTGGGGGGAGTAGCACCCTAGGGACCAGCATCCATGACGATCAGGCACCCATGGGGGACCAGGCATCCATGAGGACCAGCATCCATGGGGACCAGCATCCATGGGGACCAGCATCCATGACTATCAAGCACCCATGAGGGCGCAGGCATCCATGAGGACCAGGCCCTCATGGGGACCAGCATCCACAGGGACCACCACCTATAGGGACCAACATCCATGTGGACCGGGCCCGCATGGGGAACAGGATCCACAGGGACCTGCATCCATGGGGACCAGGCACCCATGAGGAACATGCACCCATGAGGAGCAGGCATCCACAGGGACCAGCATCCATGGGACCAGGCATCCATGGGGACCAGCATCCATGGGACCAGCATCCATGGGGACCAGGCATCCATGGGGATGAGCGTCCATGGGACCAGCATCCATGGGACCAGCATCCATGGGTCCAGCATCCATAGGACCAGGCATCCATGGGGACCAGCATCCATGGGACCAGCATCCATGGGACCAGGCATCCATGGGGACCAACATCCATGGGGACCAGCATCCATGGGGACCAGCATCCATGGGGATCAGCCTCCATGGGGACCAGCATCCATGACTATCAAGCACCCATGGGGGCGCAGGCAGCCATGAGGACCAGGCCCTCATGGGGACCAACATCCATGGGACCAGGCATCCATGGGGACCAGCATCCATGGGACCAGGCATCCATGGGGATGAGCGTCCATGGGACCAGCATCCATGGGACCAGCATCCATAGGACCAGGCATCCATGGGGACCAGGCATCCATGGGGACCAGGCATCCATGGGGACCAGGCATCCATGGGGACCAGGCATCCATGGGGACCAGCATCCATGGGGACCAGCATCCATGGGGACCAACATCCATGGGGATGAGCGTCCATGGGACCAGCATCCATGGGACCAGCATCCATGCGACCAGGTATCTGTGTGGACCAGCACCCATGGGGCCCAGGCATCCCTAGGGGCCAGGCAGTACCAGCCCAGCAGCCCCCAGCTCTCAGCTGCTTTCAGCTCCTGCTCCAAGCTCCAGGGAGGGCAGCAGATCCCGGCCGGACACCCCGGCACAGGATCCTGCTTTCCCTCTTCTTCCCTCTTGTTTGAAGTCCCCCTCCATCAGAGCGACAAGGCAATCCTTGAAGCATCCCTGAACCCCCATTGGTGGCAGTCCTTCCCCATGCATTCCACCACCATCGCGGTGCTCCCATCGCTCCTAGAGAGGGGAGGCCCCATTCCTGGGGTCCCCTCCATGGGCAGGGCATCACGAGCCTCTGTACCCCCAGACTGGGGGCATGCGGCCGCTGTCCTCCTCTCTCCATGGCATTAAAGGTCTTTGGGAAACGATGAGTCCTGGTCTCTGCTGGCTGGGATGGGGACAGTGGGAGCTGAGAGCCCATGGGTACAGTGGGGTGGGCCTGGGTGCACCCACTGGGTGCTGAGGAGGTGATGGGTGATGCCACATCCACACTAAACCCATGGCTGGATGCAGGGATGCTGAGAATCGGGGTTGCAGGGATGTGGGGATGCAGGGATGGAGGGATACAGGGATACAGGGATGCTGAGAATCGCGGTTGCAGGGATGTGGGGATGCAGGGATGGAGGGATACAGGGATACAGGGATGCTGAGAATCGCGGTTGCATGGATGTGGGGATGCAGGGATGGAGGGATACAGGGATACAGGGATGCTGAGAATCGCGGTTGCATGGATGTGGGGATGCAGGGATGGAGGGATACAGGGATACAGGGATGCTGAGAATCGCGGTTGCATGGATGTGGGGATGCAGGGATGGAGGGATACAGGGATACAGGGATGCTGAGAATCGCGGTTGCATGGATGTGGGGATGCAGGGATGTGGAGAAGCAGAGTGCAGCTATGCAGGGATGTGGGGTGCAGGAATACAGGGATGCTGGGATGTGAGGATGCAGGGATGTGGGATGCAGGAGTGCTGGGATGTGAGGATGCAGGAATGCAGGGATGCTGGGATGTGGAGATTCAGGGATGATAGGACATGGGGATGCAGGGATGTGGAGAAGCAGAGTGCACGTATGCAGGGGTGTGGGGTTCAGGAATACAGGGATGCAGGGATGAGGGGATGCAGGGATGCAGTGATGTGAGGATGCAGGGATGCAGGGATGCTGGGATGTGGAGATTCAGGGATGATAGGACATGGGTATGAAGGGATGTGGAGAAGCAGAGTGCAGGTATGCAGGGATGTGGGGTGCAGAAATACAGGGATGCTGGGATGCAGGGATGCTTGGATGTGAGGATGTGGGATGCAGGAATGCAGGGATGTGATGGTGCAGGGATGATGGGATGTGAGGATGCAGGGATGTGGGATGCGGGGATGCAGGGATGCAGGGATGTGAGGATGCAGGGATGTGGGATGCAGGGTTGCAGGGATGTGGGGATGCAGGGATGAAGGGATGTGAGGATGCAGGGATGTGGGATGCAGGAATGCAGGGATGTGAGGGTGCAGGGATGATGGGATGTGAGGATGCAGGAATGCAGGGATGCAGGGATGCCGCGATGCAGGGATGCAGTGATGGGGGGATGCAGCGATGCAGGGATGCGGGTTGCAGGGATGCAGCAATGGAAGGATGCTGAAGCGCAGCTCCCTGCAGTGTCCCTTGGTGCGGGTGTCCCTCCACCTCCCCCTTGCTCTGACCCCCCTGGGTCAATCAGTCACACAGGGGTGACGTGTGTCAGTCACACACAGGGGTCACAGGTGTCCATCACCGCAGCGCTGGGGCTGCTCTGCCAGGGGTGGAGATGGAGGGCAGGAACCCGTGTGTGTGTGGGCAATGAGGTCTGGGGTGCGTGCTGGGTGCATGCAATGCGTGTTCAACGTCTGCAGCACGTGCTCCAGGTATGCAACATGTGCTCAGTGCATGCAATGTGTGCTCAGTGCATGCAACATGTGTTCAGCATCTGCAGTGTGTGCTCCATGTATGCAGTGTGTGCTCCATGTATGCAATGCATCCTCAGTGCATGCAACATGTGTTCAGCATCTGCAAGGTGTGCTCCATGTATGCAAGTTGTGCTCCATGTATGCAATGCGTGCTCCATGTATGCAACACGTTTCATGTATGTAATGCATCCTCAGTGTCTGCAATGTGTTCAGCATCTGCAAGATGTGCTCCATGTATGCAAGATGTGCTCCATGTATGCAATGTGTGCTCCATGTATGCAATGTGTGCTCCATGTATGCAATGCGTGCTCCATGTATGCAACACGTGTCCAGCATCTGCAAGATGTGCTCCATGTATGCAAGATGTGGCCCATGTATGCAATGTGTGCTCCATGTATGCAATGTGTGCTCCATGTATGCAATGCGTGCTCCATGTATGCAACACGTTTCATGTATGTAATGCATCCTCAGTGTCTGCAACACGTGTCCAGCATCTGCAAGATGTGCTCCATGTATGCAAGATGTGGTCCATGTATGCAATGTGTGCTCCATGTATGCAATGTGTGCTCCATGTATGCAATGCGTGCTCCATGTATGCAACACGTTTCATGTATGTAATGCATCCTCAGTGTCTGCAACACGTGTCCAGCATCTGCAAGATGTGCTCCATGTATGCAAGATGTGGCCCATGTATGCAATGTGTGCTCCATGTATGCAATGTGTGCTCCATGTATGCAATGCGTGCTCCATGTATGCAACACGTTTCATGTATGTAATGCATCCTCAGTGTCTGCAACACGTGTCCAGCATCTGCAAGATGTGCTCCATGTATACAAGATGTGGTCCATGTATGCAATGTGTGCTCCATGTATGCAATGTGTGCTCCATGTATGCAATGCGTGCTCCATGTATGCAACACGTTTCATGTATGTAATGCATCCTCAGTGTCTGCAACACGTGTCCAGCATCTGCAAGATGTGCTCCATGTATACAAGATGTGGTCCATGTATGCAATGTGTGCTCCATGTATGCAATGTGTGCTCCATGTATGCAATGCGTGCTCCATGTATGCAACACGTTTCATGTATGTAATGCATCCTCAGTGTCTGCAACACGTGTCCAGCATCTGCAAGATGTGGCCCATGTATGCAAGATGTGGCCCATGTATGCAATGTGTGCTCCACGTATGCAATGTGTGCTCCATGTATGCAATGCATGCTCAGTGTCTGCA